TTGTTTTTTTGGGGGCGGGGGGGGGGGCGGCGGTTGTTTGATCAGTTGAGCAGCTTTGTCCTTCCAGCCGGGAAAACTTATTTGTGCTTTATTGGTCCTATGGTTAATCATCGCTCATGCATGGGTTACTTCTAGTTTTCCAGTATAGTGTCTCTGAGGCCAGCTGGCACAGGTTTGGGGTGGACAAAACTGCACAAATTTTATACATGGTTATTAGATTTCCAAATACGCTGGCATTAATCGATAACATACTATAAACACATGTTTTTTTTCTTGTGTTTATATCATCTGTTGTCTTCACTGTATTGTATCTTATGTGTTTCTTTACCTCAACTGTCTAGAAATTTTATAAAAAAATGCAACAAACTCATTTGCCCTGGTATTCCATAGCAGATTGCTTAAAACAAGATGAATACTAAATAGGATCGATCAAGAATCTTCATGAATTAATGCACGGCACACATAAACAAGAGTAGGTTATATTGTTTCCCTTTTTTCTTTGATATGCTTTCTCTTTTCAAGGTTTTTTTATTAGTAATTGCATTTGGTATTAATATTATTGGATTATAATAAGTCTTGGTCACTGATTACTGCTGGGATGCTTAGCTAGGCAATGTGGGGGCTATTGCATATTGTTCTGTAAATGGCTGTCTATTGTGAGTATTCTAGTCCTTTTAGCTTCTTATATTTTGAGTTTTTTTAAACAGTCAGGGTTAATATTTGGTAGGATTTTCTTAAAATTCAAAAACAGCAGTTAAGAAATTAAGAACATCACCCATACTGAAATATCATCCCACTGAAGAAGCCTTGCAATTCAAATTAGCCCATCTAAGCTAATTTGAAAACCATTCCTTCCAATTTCAACTTACCCTTAGATATTTCAGATTCTCTCCATTCTCATTTTTCAAATGAAACATCAAATGACATATTCCTTGTTTTCTTTTCCCAGAAAAAGAAAATTTTCCCCTGTTCCTTGGGCAATGAGAGAGAAGCGTTTGTTCTGGTGTCAGGATTTGCATTTGAAACTCATTTGCATTGAATTCTTTGAATATAAAATTATTATGAGTGGGAGGTCAGTTGAAGTGTTTAACACTGTCTTTCATATAGGAGATGATGCAGATTAATATGTGGTGTGTTTGGCTATAAATATTGATCTTTGCACTCTGCTCACCATTCAATGATCTGGTTTGTGTTTCCATTACAGCCCTCTGTTAAGTTTCAAAACATGGTTGAGCCTAGTAACCATTTCTTTCTCTTTTTTTGGAATGGAGGGTAATTTTTTTGCATGTGTATATGGACTATTGTGGCTACAAAAATTCTTTTTCTACAAAAAAAGGGGGGGGTGTCCTAAACAAAAAGGAGCCCATCACCCCTTTTTAGAGCATATAAGGGGAGGTCAAATTCAGAACTTTTCTCTCGAACCATGACCACACGCGGATAGCCACCCCACGTGGCTAAAAGAAAGCCAAAAGAGCTTGAACTCCCACCGAGAGGCTTGAGTCTTATAAAAGATGCCACTCTACGAGGGAAGTCCTCTGGTCGAGCACTCACGTGTGTGTGTGTGTGTCTTATTGATTAAGTACTTTCTTAGGAGGTTTGGGATTTGACTGTTTATTATTAATTCATCCTGTCAAAGCTTTTCAAATTTTAAAATGGAATGATTAGAACAACTGCAGCATCTGTTTTCAGGTGTTTCCACCATGTTCATTGAAAAGTACAGATTCTTATTCTGATTTGCACTTCTATTATTGTGATATTGGAATCTGATTTGATTCTTGTATTAATTGGTGGAATGCTTAATTTGAAATTCTCTATATGTTGAGATTACCTTATTTATACAATCAACTTGGTAGTGTGGCACTTTTGTTTTTGTGGTAGGTACAGGTATAAAGAAAATGCTGGTAAACAAATATGGGCTGTGTTTTCTATGTCTCTGTGACAGTAGATTATTTGAGGGTTTTGTTATATGATCACACAGAATGGCACACAAGGATCCTTGTAGCCAATCCGAACTAGTTCGAGATTGAGGCTTGGCTGTTGTTGTCATTGTTATGAATTGATTTATTTGATTTTTCAGATGTTTCCTTGGTGGTGCTAATTCATGTGTTCTCATTGCAGATATGACATGGCTTCAAACTCCTGGCTGAAAGAGTCCACTGTACCTCGAAAAGCTCCTTGCAACTCATTTGGTTTTGCTGTGTTGGATGGGGAGCTTCATGTAATGACTCTTATGCGAGGAGATGATTTAGTCAAAACTCATAGGTCACGGCAGCAGAAGAGGGGAGGAACGCTTTTGGTCCAAATCTATCATCCTAAGAAGAAGACATGGAGATCATTCGTTACAAGACCACCATTCTATCACTTGTTGGATTTCAAGACTGCAATTATGTGCACCATTCGGCTTTAG